ATGCAAGGCCATTGTTCACATTAGTGTTTGTCATGATTTATTTTGTCATGATTTAATTTTATGGATACTTTGGACATATAGAGAGGATGAACGAAAGGAGACGAAACAAGTATACAAGACGAGTGTGGATGGGAGAGTTGGAAGGGGTCGACCTCAGCAAACGTACCTCAATCAGATTGAGGGCATTTTTAGCAAAGGCCAATTTAGGAGTACCCTAATTAAGTTAATAACAATGTACCTACCTATGTAGTTAAAGTTTAAAAAATTTGGCTCTCAAAATAAATTTCAATCGTTGTACTGTTGATATTTGGCTCTCTTGACTAATGAGTTTGCCCACCACTGACCTAGGCACTTAAGCTGTCTGCTTCTCTACTGCCAACCCCAATTGTCATTTTTCATCCGCTGTTTTTCAAGTCTCCCCCTCTCAACATATCGTCAGCTCTCATTGGCTGCTCTTAGGGAGAGGCTGAACCTAGCCTGTCTGTCACAATAACATTTTATAGTTCATATTTTTTCCAGTGGTCTCCAAAATGTCCCATTTTTTCCACTTGAAAAATTGGAGGGGGGAGTCCAGGGAGGGAACTTCTTTTCCCTAATTTTCCCAGTCCCTCCCACCAGGCCTTTGCATCTCTATGTAGAACTGCGTTGTTTGTTCTTTGCAGTTGCGATAGATTATGGAGCTATGATAATCTGCAAATTGTAACTGTTCTAGGAATGGGAGTAAAGAATAAAAATACACTAATGTTAATATTTCATACTCTGGAGTAGTTATCTTAATTTGGGAATTGTATTTAACTGTGAATTGGATAGTAAACTAACTGCTGTTTCTCTTGAAAATCACTTTCACTGGTAGTGACAAGTTTGCTTTGAGACAGGTTCAAGTGCAATACATGCTCTACAAGGATAAATGTACTGTCCTGGTTATTTTATAAACTTGTATGTAGTTTGATGAATGCACATTGAATATCAGTGTGAACAAACAACAGCATGCTATGACTGGTGTTGGGTTTCTTGTGTATATATAAGTTCATCATATGTGACAACTTACTTGCATTTTCCAATTTAAGCAAATAATTTTTGTGACTCCTGTGATTAAAGATCTGGAGCTTTCAAACAGAAGTGGTAGAGACTTAAAAAAGATCTGAAAATATTGAAAACTGTAGGGAACATGACTTGAGGAAAGGCAGCCCTGAAAGCCATCTTAAAATATTGAAAACAGGTTCCAAATTATATCGGTCAGATGAACCAAACACAGTGGTATCCTCAGCATTAGTCACTCATATTAGCTACTCAGAGTATAATTGGAAGGCACATGATACTGCAGCCTTAGTGAAGTTAAGCAGATATGTGCCTAGTTATTGCTAGTTATTGCTTCAACAGGAAACCTCCTGGGAACTGTATCTGCGCCTTGAGTTTCTCATTCAAAGAAAAGCAGGATATAAATGCAATGTTTCTTACGCTGCAATATTTGAAGGAGAATGCTAACTTGACTTTTACATATGCAAAACTTCCTTAACCTTCTATTCAGATCACAACTTACAATAAACACTGCAATTGTTTACATGCACAGATTTTATATGCATCATTCCTTCACAAAATTTAATAGAAATGTAAGTAGATTGGAACTTGAGCGAGAACAGCTAGTACTGTTTGATATTCTTATGTGGTACATAGGCTTTATATGTGGTACATAGCCTTTATATCTTCATTATGATGATGTTTTAGAACATTTAGCTTCAGGATAACAGTTTAACCTTTTTGTAATGATTGATGATACTGAAAACTAGCAAGTAGTATTCACTTGTGTTGAGATTCTCTTCCAGGTACCTTGGCAGAAAAGCTTTACAAAAGTATGTGCATGCTTGACGTCTGATGTTACTAACATAGATGTAAATGGGTGGTGAGCATGCCAGATGGTTTTAACAGGTGGCTAAGTTGCACACTGTTCTGTGTTCAATCTGTATGTGCAGATCCTATGGTGCGCAGTTGAAACTGTGGAGTGCAACTGGTTGTTTTGAGGATAAAATGAAAGAGAGGGGAATGTATGCTGTTTTGGGTCCCCCCATTGGGGAAAAGTGGGGTATAAGGAGAGAGGTTATGGGGGCTCCCAGGACTAAATAGGAAATAGTGTGAGAAAGGGGATATGGGGAGAAGTGACTCTTGCAAGTCCTTATAGGTTCTCTGCTTGTTTACTTCCAAAAGCAAGGAGACACAAGCCGTCTGAGAAAGTACATGTATGTTTTATTGATTTGTAAATGGGATAGGGAAGAGAAAGCCACAAATACATGTAAGAATCCGACTTAAAAGTGCTTATACAGTGGGAGAAATAATGTAATTCCATAATTAATGCAAGTGGTTATATGGAGATAAGTAGTGGCATACAATAAGTTGTCTCAGGCTGCAATTATACACATGAAATAATCCACTTTCAATGCACTTCCAACTGGATTTTACTGCATAAACTGGCAAAATCCAATTGGAAAGTGCATTGAAGGTAGATTATTTAGTGTGTGTGATCACAGCCTCACTGACCTTTGTAGAAGAGAGTAAAATACTGTCTTGATTGAGTGGACAACCAGCTGCTAGTGGGGAAACAAAAAATTGGAAGGGGAACTGAAAGTGGGAAATGTCTCACTGCTTCATTTGTTTCTGTAATCCCACGAAAACATTAAACAGTCAGAACTTCTCAGTACGATATCCTGTGTGAAATTTTGGTATATTGTCCTTTATTTTGGAGGAGACATGAGAAAAAAACACTTGTTAAATTATAAAATTGAAGACAAATTAACTCAGGTTCCGTTAACTCAAGTGGGATTATTTATTTAGCATCTCCTGTTCACAAGAGATTACTAATTTCTTGTGGAAAAGGTATTCAGATACTATTTCTAATTGAGGAATTTCTCCCCAACAGATTATATCTCCTACTGCATTGTTTTTGGCTGCAAAAGTGGAAGAACAGCCTCGTAAACTCGAGCATGTTATCAAGGTAGCGCATGCTTGCCTTCATCAAGAGCCACAGCTGGATACCAAGAGTGATGTATGTATGCATTATATGGATAATTCCAATTTCACCTCAGAAAACACGGATCACTTTTTTTAAAGTGTTGGTATCTTTTTCTTCAATGTATAAATGAGCTCTTTTGGTATCATATATGCAATAGCGGCAGGTGCTGCCCCCAAGTATAGTTAAAAAGCTCCACAAGGGGGGGCGTATGGTAAGGTATAGATTTCTGGAAACTTGGGATAACTTCCATGCTTTTTTCTAAAAATAGGAAAAGTAATACGAAAATAGGGACTGAATAAAATAAAAAGTCTCAAACGTTGAGATCTTGCAAGACTACCTTTATGATATCTTGCTTCCATTTTGAGTTGCCTAGGCAATGAAGAAAGCCAGCTGCGATTATTGCAGGACTACTTCCCAGTGCCTTGGTTGCCTTGGCAATCGGAAGCCACTTTGCTGAGGCCCAGAACAAGAGGACATTATGAGAACCTATGAAGGGGGGGGGAGGGATTATCCCTCCCCATATATCCCCTTCTTGCATACTTTTCATTTTGTCATGGTATGATCAGCTTTACAGCACGTTCCATACATTCTTTTTCTCATATTTTATTTGCTTTTTAATTTTTTACTTCATTTATACCCCACTCTTCTCCTTAATGGGGACCTATAGTGTCTTACGATAACTTTCTCCCCTCCTCCAATTTTATCCTCACAACAACCCCGTGAAGTAGGTTAGGCTCAGAGAGTAGTGTCCATCTGAGTTTCTCTGGCAAAGTGGGGATTTCCCTTCCTAGGCAAGGTACCTTGCCTTTTGTTTTAAAGTATTACTGACAATATTGGATTGGATCTTACTACTCTGCTTGGAGACTTCTCCATTGCAGGGAACCTTCTAGTAAAGGAAGGCTGTACACTTTATCTGAGTGATCTGGTAGGATCCAGCCACAGTAGTTGATAACATAATTGTTTTCTTGATTAGTAGCTTTCATAAGTAGGAAAGCATTTTTTTTCCACTGTAAGGAAATAACTTGTGCTCTGTACTAGTAGAAAGCTGAGCCTTAGTTTGTACGAGGTGGCGAACAATCAGAACACAAAACATAGTTTTAAAGCTTGCCACTATTAACAGAAATTCCACAGCTTGAAACTACAACCATACCCCATAACCAGGACAAGCATAAGTCTGGTAAGTGTTGGGCTGATCAGGGGAGGTGGCTGGTCTGTATAGTGAGAGGCAATCCTTCCAATCCTTCCAATAATCCACACAGCTCATTAAGGGCTTTCAAGAAACAAATACGGAAGTTGTTGAGCTGTTATAAAATGCTGCATTCCCACTCTAACTTTTGTATGTTGTGAAATCTGGAGCTGGTCCCCAGTTGCACATTTTCTGTCTGCTTCTCCTGTGCATCCTTCACAGCATGTGGAAGGTCATGTCCAAACTAGAAGTTGATATGTTATCTAAGTTTCTGGCCATTCCACATTCAAACACAGGATTCATATCCAGTAATCACTTCTAATCTTATTGTGGATGACATAAATTTGGAAAATACTACTGAAACAGCCTAGTAGTGTCGCATATAATTGATAGCCGTTGTGAAAGTAAAATCCTCCTCCTAGAAGCTGCCAGAGAATTGTGGATTAAAAGCAGAAGTGATGAAGGGTACAGAGGTTTAAAGGGAAAGGGGCAAACATAATACTAGCTGTGTGATGTTCAGCAATCCACGTTTCTAGCCTCTTGTGGGTGAGATACCTCTAAAGCAGTATAGTCCCTTATCTTATTTAGAATAGTCTTCTCTACTGTATTAGTATTAATGCTTTATCAATTATATCTCCATTTTAGGCATACCTTCAACAGGCCCAAGAGCTGGTTATACTTGAAACAATAATGCTTCAAACTTTAGGTAAGTATATTCAGTCCATATGTGATGTCATTAAAGTTATCACACAATCAGTTAAATCTCATTCACACGATATTGCAGCTCTCATAATGGAATACTATATATAGGCTGTGGTTACACACACTAAATCCACTTTCAACCCACTTTCCAACAGGATTTTTCCAGTTCACACAGCAAAATCCAGTTGGAAAGTGCACTGAAAGTGGATTATTTAGTGTGTGTGACAGCAGCCATTCTGTATATGTGGAATTCTCATATAATAAAATTGGTTTTGCGGTACAGTAGAGTCCTAGTAGTATAAACCTCCTTACCCATGTAATACATATTACATGTGCATTAAGGCCTCTTGTATCAGACATTCTATTGTATTTCATGTTTTTGCAATACTCAGTGTTGGTAATAACTCAGCAGTATAAAGTCTGCTGCTGTAAATTCTTTAAGTGCTAACTGCCAGTATTCCAAGGCTATCCGAGTAGCTGGAAATGAGATTACTGAAGTAGGCTTCCAAAAAGAACATGGGAGAAAAGATGCTTTTAAGATGCTTTTAAAGTTGCCAACTAATATAAAGTATCGTTAGTGAAATATACATTAATTTTTTTCAGGTTTTGAGATTACCATTGAGCATCCACACACAGATGTTGTGAAATGTACGCAGTTAGTGAGAGGTCAGTAACCATTTAACTGGTTCTTTTGACACATCTCTATATGATGGTGGTGGTATGACTTGGTAGAACTAAACCCTCACTATTGCTTCTGCTGTGAGTAAATCACTGCTTCAAACTGACACGATTACCCACCTGAATCTATTTTTTTAATTTACCCAGTTCTGCAAAATGTGTGCTTAAAAGTGAAGCACAAATTGTAGGTAGTGAACTTCTAAACCTCAAATTAAAATCACCCTTCTTGGTGATGGATGCATGTCAACTCTGTGTAGACATCTAAAGCTGATTTTGATAAACCATCTACAAGACAGTGAGTCGACAACAAAGCAGAACTATGTATAAGCTGATCAGAGCAGTATTGGGGTTTTCTTCTTGAATTTCTTTTTTTAAAGGGCTTTTTGCAAAGAAAGATAAGAGGTTTGCAGACTGAGTGGCCACACACATTTACATTTTGCATGGGCTTAATCACTTCCTTTTCTGAGCTACAGCGAATCATTGGTGCAACATTAGTACGGTACTATAGTTACAGTTTACAGTATTAACTGTTTGGGTCCTCTCTCAATCTGTGAGTTTTTTCCTTGCCTTTTCTGTAGCTGTTTGATTCTCACTGTGTTTTGAATTTGAATAGACTTCTATTTGTTTTGGGATCATATATGAGTTAAATACTGGGTTGTGCACAGGAATTCTACCAAAAATCATGCTGTCCCTCCCTGCTTTACAGAAGCCATCATATTTGCCTCAGAAAAGGAGAACAAACAATTTTATTCTGCTCTTCTAGCAGATCGCTGTAAAGAAATTACTGCCAAGGTGGCAAGATTTTGTGCTCGGGCTAGTTTAATAAGGCAGAGGGAAAAATTTTTAAATTACCCTAACTCAATCCTAAAATATTTTACAAATCCTAAAAGTCTATTTAATAGTTGCTTGTTTCAACTGTGGATGTCTAGATGTAAGCAATGGGTATATTGTATATTTGTTTTAGTTCTGATCTTAGATCACTGAACTGAATTAAAATGGCTAATTGTAAGACTTCAGAAAGTTTAAATGAGAAGAATAAAAGTTAAACACCATCAATCTACAGGATCTAAGTATAGAAAGCTTCCCTAAAAGTGCTATCAAATACATTATTCTGCCCAGATATGATGCTATAATTGCAGCAAGATATTTTCCCCATATCTCTTGATAGAAATGGCAGGATAGAAAGACATGCTCAATTGTCTCTGTCAAACCTGATTGGCATGGACAGAGGCGATATATATATGGAGTCTGAGCATATCTCCCCTCAAGTAGGGCAGATGGGAGAATGTTAACCCGGATTAAGGTGAAAGCTCTTCAGTGCTTTGGGAATTCCAATGAGAAGAAATAGTTAGGAATCAGAATTTTGTAATCTGCTTCCCACTACCAGGGAGCATGAGATTCTCAAAGGGTCTGTTTGTAAGGAGGTATCCCATAACCTCTGTTTGATTATTTCTTTAGCTCCTTTATATCCAAGCTGTAAAAGAGCTGCATTAGAAAAGCCCAATAAGGATAGCCATTTTAATTAACCATTCATCTTTAAAAGAAATGTGGTGGTGCATCCTTTATCAACCACAATGCAGTACAGTTATGTTTGCTTAAGTAGCAGTTAAATTGGTAAAATGTAACCGGCATGCATGAACACCGGGTTGTAGCCAATATTTGCAATGGTTATAGGCTGTAAGTGATTCCAGTTATGAATATGTTACCTGCAAAGAAGTGGGGAGGGGGTAGCCCTCTGGAAGCCACCTACTGAATTGCAAAGCTGCACCTTTGATTTAATTTTAATACATGAATTGCATATTTTGTTAGTTGCAAGACATTAATATCCTGTTACTATGTTGATTGATAGCCTTTAACTTAAGTATTATTGATGCAACTTCTGCCTGTTTTTATGTAGTAACTCAGTCTTTTGAGTAAATCCCCAAGAAACTTTTACTAGCATCTCTGCTGTTTCATACATAGATTTTAAAAAATAATAATCTTCAAGCATACATTGCTTGCAACTGATACTCTGTTGGCAACATTTATAAACATGCTGTAGTCTGATGCTCTCCCCCCAATGCAGATTTGTAGCAAATTGCATATTTAACTAGGTGAAGAAGAGTAGAAAACTTTGAGATCTCAGTTCAGCTTTTATTACTGATTTCAAGGCAGTTTTGTGGAATAATGTTTTTAAAGTATTTTGTTCTTGTTATAGTGCATATGTAAGAAGTTGTATATAAAGAACATGGGTTAGAAACAGTAGCAAGTACGTCCCTATACAATATCAGCAGCTGCTGTTCCACTCTACTTTAATAAACAGTGAAAAAAACAATACTTCTAGTAATTACTGATGGGACTTGAAAGATTTTATCACCATGTACTGGGTAGTTCGCATGTTTGTTAGGTTTTTTAAGTATCCAGTTTTAGTCACATTTGGGACCTCAATTTAATGGGTCAAGTATTTTTTAATCATAACTGCTTTCAAGGCATTAGTGCCTGCTTTTTATGTATAAAGAGAAATGGTTACATCTTTGAGCCTAAGCAGCAATTTCCTTCTGTGAGGATTTAGGTGCTTGGGTAGACTTATCATTTTGCTATGATGGATCTTTTCTATGATTAATGGGATTTGTGTTTTCAGTTAAGTGTTTAGAGCTAGTTTGTTGCAGCTGCTCCTGAATAAACTGTAAATGTTAGGGGTGTGCAGTCCCGTCCCCCCAGGGGGGGGTTCCTGTTTGGGTATATTGTACTGGGGAGGGGGGAGAGAATTAGGTTTCCTGAAAAATCCTGGATGCCAGTACCGGTGCAGTATTTGTATCCAGGATTTTTCAGAAATCCCAGTTTTTTTCAGGTCCAATAGATCTGGGAGGGGGATTGCGCACCAGAAGCTGTGCCTGCAGGGAGCGGTCCACTGTCCGCAGACACAGCTGATCCTGGGCTGACTTCTCTTGCAGCTTGATTTAAACTGAGCTGCAAGAGGAGCCAGCCCCAGCCAAGGTGCCATAGAGCTCACGGTGGGGAGCTGTTAGTTTCTGCCACCCCAGCTGATGCTCTCTTACAGCCCGGTTTAAACCCGGCTACAGGAGGAGTCAGCCAGATCCAAGCCCAGCTGGTGGAGGCTGTCTTCTGCAGCCTTTTTAAAGTTTAATGGGACTGCAGAAGCCCAACAAACAGCTGAGAAGCAGGAGCAATCTATTCCTGCCTCTTGCTGTTTTTGGATCTACCAGCAATCCTCAAATGTATCTGAGATTTTCTTGGGAATTCTGCCCCCCCCCCGTTTTCCTGAGAAAACCCAGATATATTTGAGATGCTGAAATATACCCAGAAAATGCTGCTAAGGTATTTTTCAGGTATATTTTTGGCTCAGGTAGATCCAAATGCACACCCCTAGTAAATATTCCTTGTTTATGGGGGAAGGGCTGGCTGGCTGGCTGCTGCTGTGATACTTGCCTTCATTTCTTGTGACCACTTTAGTGTATGGTTTCCTTGCAGTGACGTTAGTGTGGGGACAGCAGGGTATTAAAGGATGTGGGAGTTGTGTTCCAGATTTACTTGGGAAATGTGGAACATGATCTGGAAGCCATCTGAGGTGCATTGCCCACATCCTGGCCTAACAAATAGTAAGGATGAAGGGTTGTACTTTCAAAACTGTAGACTTCAGCAAGGTTCTCTTTTCCTTTTCTGATTTCTCCCCCTTGATTTTTAATAAAAGACCATTTAGACAGCAAAATGGTTCCATCTTACATTCTCTTGTATTCTGGTGACTGACTGATTCCTGGATCAGGTGTTGAACCACCCTACATGTTCTCCTGGAAGAAATTTCCATCCTGCCTTACATTTTGCCTGTTGCCTGGGTGGTACTAACAGCTGCTTCCAGCAGCCTGAACCAGCAATCCAGGTGCTACAGCAAAATGCCATATGGCCTCATGTATGAGTTTTTGCAGTGTACCTTAAAGGAAAAGTACCCCTAAAGCCAAAGGGAAACAGAAAAATCTTGGCATGTAACACATTTGGTGCTATACTGTATTTCATGGTTTCCTGTGTATGCAGACCTGTTCGTTTCTGCTTATCATTACTACTCCTGTTTTGGGGGCACTAGGACATCCCATTGCATCTGCTCTTCTTGGACCCATATCCAAACCAATCCGTGACAAAAGTGATTCAGTCCTAGGCTGGGCTTGACAGATAACCTCTGTCTATTTGCAGTGCTGTACACACTTATGGAGCTGATAGTACAAACAGGTTTCTGGTTAATTTGCTGTATGGAAGTTTCTGCTCCATTAATTCATCACAGAGAGAAGTACTTGTACATTTTCCTGCGTAAAAGACTTGAAGTGGTAGAACACTTCATAAGTAGTGTTTAATTAAATTAAACGAATTGACAAGCATACTTCAAGAGGCCTTATGGGGAAATTGTTTTAGGAGTAAGTAGCATAGAAAAGGTTGCTTTTTGTAAAGAGGATAAATGGTTTGTTTTGTACTGATTTGCAATTGATAGTTTAGAATCATTGCATAAATAGCACGGGGGTAGGAAATTGTGTAACATTATTATTGGTAGCTAAATTTCTTTTCTTTTTCTTACAGCGAGCAAGGATTTGGCACAGACATCCTATTTCATGGCTACCAACAGGTTGTTATCCTGAACCTCTTTGTTGCACTGTTGTAGCACACTATAGCTTCCTTTACTGCAGGGCCCCCTACCTGTGTCTAACCCTTGTTGCAAGTGGCGACTGGGCCATCTAATGTGGTGGTACCTTCCTGCTTGCAGTGCGGTGTATTGTACAAGGGCCTAACGGCACAAAGGGGTTAAATGCACGATGTGAAGTGTAGTGGTGCTTTCTGATGACATATTCTCGATTGTGAGTGCATAAGTCTAAATTGGTAGCCTGAATAGCAGCTAAAGATTACAGAGAGATAAACTTAACCTAGAAATCCGAGCATCTTGGTAAGTACAAAGTTGTTTCTAGTTTACCCTTGTAGTTAATGGCATTTTTTTTCTTAAATAAAACCTTGACATTGTAAAAAAAAAAAAAGTTTAAAAATATCAAAATTGTTTAAAAGAATTTTTATTAATACATCAGAATTCAGCCATGAGACTTCTATAAACTGCAGAGGCTGTCCAGTTAAATATAAAAAACTGCTGCAATCTAGTACATTTATCGGTCATATCTATCCTTAGGCTGTGGGGAATGCGTTTTATGTAAAATAGACAAGTTTACATTGAAGATTAGAGCTTGGTAGATGAGTAGCAAAAACACAAGAATGCTTGCTAATGAAAAACACAACAAAAAAAGATGAATTTATATAATGATCTGTTGGATTTGTAGAGAAAAGTAGTATTTGGGAATAGGACTTGGTCTAATAAATAGGCTGTTTCAGACTTTGGGGGGAACGTGAAAGGGCAATGCAAAAGTGGGATTGGGAAGCAAAGAATGGGTAACAGCACATGAGTCTTTGTGAAGCAGAGACTGAAATGGGATTGGTGGGAGGAATCCAAGGTGGAGAGGCTTGAGAGTAAGGTCAGGAGCTAAATTTGATCCAGATACTAATAAGGAGGAAACTTGTATTGGGAAAGACATTAGGGTTTTAAAGAGGAAAGATGATTTTAGCACAGTCATTAAGGCAATTGGATACATAAAAAAGGTTAAGTCATGGGCAGTAGTAATTTAGGTAGGACAACTGAGGGCATAATTGAGTGGAGTTTAAGGATATGGGCATGGTGAAAAGAGAGGTCTGGGAGGTGTTTGGTGAATTTATGTGAAGGTCTAGATAGCAAGAGATAAAGGAATGGAAGGTGTCAGAACCAACCTGGACATGGTGTTTGGGAGAATGGTATTAACTGTGTTTCCTACAATACGATTGTTGGGGAGTTTGGATGGCTAAATGAGAAGCTAAATACTAGCTATTCACAGGTATTAAAGATTCATACATTGCTAGTGTAAAGTTCCCAGCTGGATTTTAAAGAGGATACTTGATTATGGTGTAAAGAAAATGCAGATATAAGAGGTCCTGTTGAGTGTAAATACACAATCGCACATTAATTTTTGTAAGAAATTCTTTTTGGGGATGTGCATTGAGCTGCTGCTGTAGCATTGACCTTTCAAATTGGAAGTCACTCAGGTGTGAAAGCATCACCAAAACATTAAATTGGCACTGTTGTGTTGCTTCCAGCCAGGAGCTATTACCTGACGTTAACTAACATGAACTGTATTGCAGGTTGGACTGACAGAGGTGACACTTGGTTTCTCATTACTATTCCAAATGAAATATGTTATGATAAGAGTATAACATTTGTAATAAACACTTAATTTTGCCAGGTCTCTTGTATACTAATATTTGGCTTTCTGTATTACGTGCATATGTACAGACTATTGTAGCTCATCCCTTTGTTTAGCAAGAACCAATTTAAATTTCCAAATTGTACTTGACTGTGTTAACTTGAAAATAGTTATAACTAGCCCTGATAAGCCCAGGCAAGCCTGATCTTGTCAGATCTCAGAAGCTAAGCAGGTTCAACCCTGGCGAGTATTTGGATGGGAGATGTCCGGAGAATACCAGGATCGGGAGGCTAGAGGCAGGCTATCAAGCCACTTCTGTGAATGTCCTCCATGCCCCAGTGGGAGTCACCAGAGATCACCATGATTTCCAGGCACACGTGCACACACGCACGCACACACACACAAATGCAAAATAACAAATAATGATAATAAAAAAGAAAATAGTTATAACTTGTCATGTTGAATGGAGTGTGTTAATAATGAGTGTGTTGTTTTTGTTTTTTGTCTTTTCCATGTTTGACTTTTGTTCTTCCATTATGAAACACTTCCGACCAAAGTCTTCATCTTACTACGTTTTGTCTTCAGTACAAACCAACTGTGATAGCATGTGTGTGTATACATTTGGCATGCAAGTGGTCCAATTGGGAGATTCCTGTATCAACTGATGGAAAGCATTGGTGGGAATACGTAGATCCTTCTGTTACTCTAGAATTACTTGATGGTAAGTTGAATCAACTTGGTTTTATTCTTCCATTGAAATTATAGCCTGTTTTGTTTTTGGCCTCGCTGCCAACACTCCCATAAGAGACCCAAGATGACTAACAGTCAGTAATTTGGGAATTGCTAGCCTGTTTCGGTTTCCTGCTGTCTAAAGATTTTGGCTCTTTCTAGTCTGTAAATGCTACCATGCATGCACTGCAGGATTTTGAAAGGAAATGTATTGCAGTAAAATTTATAAATGGGATTGACACATTATCTGTTTATCTATTTCTCAAGTCTTGCCCCCATCTAACGATATCTAAATCCATGGATTGAGGGCACACTTACGCAAAACAGATAGGTCTGTGAACTTGGGGTGCTTCCTAGGTTTGCAGAAAATCTGGAAACTTAAAAATACATTGAGGGTCTAAATCCCCTCCCCCTGAAAAAATGCTGTTGTCTGTGGATGTGCAGGCAAAGAACCCACCTCCTCCTCCTCTGTTGGATGGGTTGCCGCCATCCTCCTCCTTGACAGGTGGGCAGGGAAGCTTCAGCAGGCCCAGCAGCAGAGGCCTGGACCCGTGTGGGGCTCACCAGCAGAATTCAAGCGGGGAAAGGAGAGAGGATGTGGGATCTTTCAGGGAAAAGAAAGAGGAAATAAATGAGGGGTTTAAAAACAAAATGAGTGCCTGTAGCTTTGAGAAACAGAAGTGCTCAGTGGCCATTTCTAGGCAACCAAAGGATTCTAGGCTTGCTTGCTGTCGATGAAAGGCAGGGAGGGGGGCAGGGTCCTTTCAGGGCTGTTCTGGCCTTTGAGGGAGGACTCATTGGGGCCAGGCCTGGTAGCAACCACTGGATGACTAGATATCACCCAACTTGCATGACTCACCTAGGACTGGCTGCTTGCTACTGTTCGACAGCAGCCACCCTATGAAAGCCAGTGTGGTGTAGTGGTTAGAGCATCAGAGTAGGGTCTGGGAGATGCAGGTTCAAATCCCCATCTTGCTGTGGAATCTCACTGGGATTTTGGGCCAGTCATATACTTTCTGCCTAACCTACCTCACCGTGGTGGTTATGATGATAAAAAAGAACAGAAGAGAATGATTTTAAGCAGCTTTGGTCCCTACTGTGGAGAAAGGCACTGTATACATGAAGTAAATAATAAATATAGCTGAAGGTGGAGGGAAAATAAAAAGTAGGTTGGTGAATGGCTGAGAAGGAGAGAAAAAGGCAGGGGAAAGGGAAAGGATACGGGTTTGTGAGGAGGAAGGAAATTGGAAATAATGGGAGGAGTGGGATATGGGGAAACTGATGAGCCCACACACACACCCCAAAGTCATTGAGGATTCCATACCGTGCAGGTGTGCCTGGCCTAGTGGCTGGCACCACACAACCGGACCACAGTTTTCCTAGGTATGGGCTTCTGGGCAGGGAGAGGGAAAGCTGAAGACAGTGGGGCAGATAATGCTGGGTGGTGTCATGATCCAGGGCCTATAGTGGTGTGGCCTACAGGCTCTAGGGAGGCCTAGTGGCTCCAGGGAAGCCTGTATTAGAGTGACAACAGGGCCTACATTTCCCAGGTCACCCTCTGGACCATGTGATTGTTTTTGAAACGTGGGTATCTTGTGGAGAGGCTCCAGCAGCTACCCTATGAGTTTGGAGCCTCTCCCTCAAACCCCTTCCCCTCCAGCCCCCAGAATATACCCTATGTTTTCGCCATTGACTTCAATAGCCCATAGGATATAATGGGGCCAAATTGCCGCCGAATTTCGGCAGCAATTCGGCGGCAAGCCAATTCAGATCAGAGAATCTGAATCGGCCCACAGCAGCCCGAAAGGGCCATTTTCGGGGGTGCATTCGGTTCAGACAAACCGAATGCACATCCCTACTCCCAGCAGTAGCTTTTCAAACACAAACAAACACAAAATATAGTGCTATGAACTGAAAATGCAGCACACATGTCAATCCCATTTTTGGAGCACTTTAGCACCTATAGCTTTAAGTGAAAAAGACTTTTTCAGTGTGCAGTGTTCTGGGTCATTAGGCAGTTGAGCAATGAACCTGACAGGTGTACTAGCCCTTAGGAAACAGCAAGGCTTTGACCAAAATTATATCAAACTCTTCACGGTGTCCATTAAGTGAGGAATTTTAATATCTGACTTCCTTTTTGTTGCTTAGACACAAACAGTGATTCAGAAAACATGTTTTCAGACAGTTTTCTGGTTACTAGTTACGTAGTTGTTCACAGATTTCAAAGGTTTATATCTCAGTAGTGTTAAGTTCCCAACAAGATGTCAATCAGCTGTTTGGTTGAATTTTAAGTTTAGCTTTTTTTTGTTACAGAGCTAACACATGAGTTTCTTCAGATATTGGAAAAAACTCCCAGCAGGCTAAAGAGGATTCGAAATTGGAGGGTAAGAATTATTTGTCATGAGAGCCATTTCATAGTTAAGAAGCCTTTGCTAAACTGTTTTCTTGAAAGTTAGCACCCTAGTGTATACTACTAGTTTAAATGTATTTCAATAGTACAATAACTTATTGGCTTAACTTCTTAAAGCTGTGTTAGGCCAGTACATGAAACAACTGTAAATAAGAGTAACTTTATTTTTGACCAACTGATTTTCAGAAATGAGCTTTACAACCCTGCTTTTTCTTTAGGAAACTTCCTCTTGATGTTCTTATAGACCTAACTGCGAATATTCCTTAACTTGTGTATTATTCTTACATAGGCTAATCAGGCTGCTAGGAAACCTAAAGGAGATGGTCAAGCGTCTGAGAATTCACTTCTTGGCTCATCTTTGGTTCAGAATTCCATTTTGGCAGATGCTGTTGCATCTTCAAACTCAAGTTTCCAGAAACAGTCGGCACCCACATTTCCAGCCCCAGTTCCTCTGAACTCAGGAAGTATTTCAATTCAATAGTTAAGAGCATTCCTCAATTATAGTTTGGAAACAATAGTTTTGTCCACAAACCAAGAATGGCCTCAGCACCAAGAACAAACAAGGACAGAACAGATGTATTCTCAGAAACAGGATACTTCACTCTCTGGGGGTCAATTCAACATAAACTTTCAACCAAGCACTTCACTGCAGTTACATTCAGGATTGCATCACAGACCTGACAAACACTCTGAGCATTCTGCTGCACACAAACCAGGAAACAAACACTACGGGCAACTTGCTACTGCCCCTGTAATAATTCCTCAGAAAATGTCGTTGGATAAATACAGAGAGAAACGCAAGCTAGAAACACTGGAACTGGATGTAAGAGAACACTACATGGGCACAGAACCACAGTGCAAAAAGCACATGCCATCCCAAGCAGCAAGTAGCAGTTCTGTAACTTCCCCTATTAAAATGAAAATTCCCATTACAAATGCAGAGAAGCCAGACAAATACATGCCCGACAAAAAAGAAAAGGGTGGTTCACTGAAACTGAGGATACCCATTCCACCCACAGAAAAGAATCTGAGTAAAGAAGATCTGAAAATGAAAATTAAAGTCTCTTCCTCAGAGAAGCATAGCTCATCAGATGAGGGCAGTGGGAAGAGCAAGCACTCAAGTCCCCATGTTGGCAAGGACCACAGGGAAAAGCACAAGGAATATTCTGCAAACCGCCATCATAGTAGTAGTCATAAACATTCCCACACTCACAGTGGCAGCGGTAGTAGTGGTGGCAGTAAGCATAGTAGTGATGGATTGACACCAGCTATTCTGAGGAGTCCCATTGGCTTGAGCAGTGATGGCAATTCTTCCAGTTCCGGTTCTTCGAGAAAGAAGCTGCACAGCAATGATGCTTCTCACAACCATCACTCCAAAATGAGCAAAAGTTCGAAAAGTTCAGGTAGTTCATCTAGTTCTTCCTCTGTTAAGCAGTATGTACCCTCTCTCAACTCTGTTTTTAACCTTCCCTTACCCCCTCCTCCCCCTGTCGCATACCAGGTGGGCTACGGACATCTCAGCACCCTCGTGAAACTGGACAAGAACCCAGTGGAGAACGGTCCTGATGCCAGTCACGAGTACAGTACAAACAGTCAGCATATGGACTACAAAGACACATTCGACATGCTGGATTCACTGTTAAGTGCCCAAGGAATGAATATGTAATCCATTGTTTAGGCCCCTTTCCCCCATTTTTATTTAAGAATTATTAGAATGGAAACCTTCCTAATCTAGGATGAGCGACCCCTGAGTTGCTGCCCCAGTTGTATGTAAGTGCTGCTTTATCTTTCACTCTGAAAAGAAGAGGTATAGTAAAATGAGCCGGTCTTCACGTATGATAGTGTTATAAATGCTGTAAAGACATGGGAGGTGCACAAATTACAGTATTCTGCAACCGCAATTAAGAACCGCAAATTTGATGGCTGTTTCTAGCTGCATCGAATGTTCATGCATTGATTATTTATAACTGAATATGCCAGCTACAACTTGTTGCTTGGTTTATGAATGAGTGTATTTTTTGTGTATTTATACTGTATGTATGATTTGCATGTTTCAAAGAAGGGATATGTAAAATATACTGACAATGTTTACAACAAACGTGGAGAGAAGTGTACATACATTTTTGTATGTTTAGAAATACCATTAATACTCAGGATTGGAGCTGCTTGTAAGGAATACAAATATACAGAACATGTATGTCAGAATCCATAAGTAATACAAGCAAAAGTGGCACTTCATGTTAAACTGTAGGCCTTATTGGAAGCCACTTCCCAAGAGCACTTCACAGAATGGGGGTTGTGTGCTAGCTGTGGCCAGCAAATGGCACAGCATCCCCACTGACGCAATGTGAAAACTGCTCAGGCCTCCTTTAGTGATTTTCTTTTAAGACAACCCAGTTTACTGCTGGACATCTTTAACTTTCAGAAGGGGAAAAAGAAAATAAAGTTTATATCTTTTTGATGTGAAAGTGCATTTAAATGTTTGGCTTGATGCAGTAATAGAGACACAGAGCTGTTAATAATGGTTATATAGATTAACATGATTTAAGAACTGAAATACGTAAACTTATATAGTGAAATTAGTAAAGTTTTTTTTTTTAACTTAAGTTATTAATGAACAGGGATCACTGTTTTTCATTAGCATTTCATACTGACGGCCACGTTTTGAATTCCAAAAAAGTGTGTGTGATGTGAGTGAAATGCCATATTTCTTTTACAGGTGGAATACTATATCTTTGCAATAAATAAATACAAACAAATGTTGGTATCCCAACTTCTCCCTTATACTTAGACAATAAAATAACCATCACGTATGCTACGTGAATTGTGCTTGTGATTGTAGTATCAAAACTGGAGGGTTTTTTTTCCAGCTCCGAATAATCACTCTCCAATTAAACCACTAAGTATACATTTTTATGGCTTTGTCATCTTGCTGTTTTGCAGTCACCTGCTTTTTTTTTTTTTGACAAATGATGACTGTTGTGAATGTTGTTGGGTTTCTGTTAAAGGCCAATGGTCCTCTTTTACTAGCTGACCCTAAGCGCATGGAAGTTACCTCAGCAAAAATTCAGTATAGTACCAAGAGTTACGTACTGGGTATTTAATGTACAGATTTTAATAAGTTGTCCTCCATGTCTGAGAGGCATCCACTACTTAAATGTGTTCTTGCACAGCTTATGTTCTAATTTGGTTACAAACATTTCAGAAGCGTGTCTGATGTTTTAGGCCTTTTAGGTACACAAAAGTGCTTTAAAAATCAAAATGGTTAAGCATGTATCCAGTTTGTAGTTACAGTATGCTGTGACTACTTGTGCATCAATTACTATGTAATATTTAGTTGCCAGTAATACAAAACTTTGTACTACTTGAAAACGTTTATTTGAACTATCGGTGTATTTTTTAACACTTTTTGAACAAGGATAATATGAATAATGTGTCTTCAGATTTTAATCTAGTCCTTTCCCCTTCACTCTGCTTCATCCAAAACTGTTAATTCTTTACCCTTGTAACTTTCTACATTGAAAGAATATTTCTTAAACCCTGTATTTTAATCCTGCATTGTTGCATATTTTTAGCCTTTTTTATGCTCCTTTCTACCTCATCTGTGTTTTTAAATTCGGGGAGGGGGGGAATTGCCATACAGTGTAAGCAAAAATTAAAATGTCTTAAACTATGATTCCCAGTAGGAAGAAGAAAAACCAGTAAATGTTTACTTTAAATAAAATTGATTTATAAAGCCTCACAGTATTGCTTACACGTGTATAGATTTGCTTTGGAATGCATTTTACCCATTTACTGTATGAAGGTATAATGGTCACATATTCTAATACAGGTATAGAAATTAATAAAGGTAGTAGTTCCTTTTTACATTTGCAGAAAGCAATTTGATATAATTTCTTCAGGTTCTCCAAGTATTTTGTTGCCCAATCCTATACTGCAGCACGTTGCCACAGGATGGGACCTGAATCTTGGTTTGCCTTATTTGACAATGCTGTATTTGTAAGGTCTTATTGAAGGAAGGTTTCCACTTCTATCCCTGTTCTTGTTTGACTCTGCTGAAACGTTGCAAGCATAATTGAATTGGAGCCTGTGCCTGCAAGCATCGAACTGCAAATGTACCAGAGAACTCTAAAATGCTGGCTGGACACAAACATTTGAGGAGGCTGGGATCAAAATGGAAGTCCGTTTTGAGTGCCGTTGTTAAATAGGGACTTGAATACATTTCTGCTGCACCTTGTGAAAGTTATCATGGTTTATTTCTTACAGTACAGTCCTAATATCACCCTCGTGGGAGTGAGCACCATTGAGTAGGATTCTGAGTAGATTTGCTTAGGAGTATTTATTTTTCTATAGGTTGATTTTTTCAGACTTGTTAGAAAAATGGCAAAAATAGCAATTTTAAAATAAATTGTATCAACCAAGGTTTCAATATGATGTTCACAGAATATTTAGTGATGTTATGTGGGCTAAAAATCCCAGAGCTTATACATGTGTATTTTCTGCCTTTTGCTAAACCCACATAATTGGTAGTCGATGGTGCTGCCAACTTTTTCCTTAGAATTCCTCTTTGTAAAAACATTTAAATATTTCCCATCATCTTGATACATGTACTTAAGGAATACTGTAGATAAGATTGTGCTAGGTGTGAAATCCTAAAGTAAGTTTCTTGTGGCATAATTGCTCTTTTAGAATAGTGGTAAGGGAGAAAGAGGAGGACCAGAGCTAAAAGGGTGAGCTGGAATTGAGCAGGTTCATTATAAAAGAGATGCAAAGGTGAAAAGAGATGCATGACTTGAGAATGTTTCAGTATGAGATATCTAATATCTGTGAACGTTGCAGATACTATTGTATGTACTTGTGGCATTTGTATGAGATACAGTTTCTGGTAACCATAATTGTGTGCTGCAGCATGACGTAGTGTGAGAAACCATCAAATACTTTTAAAAAAAATAGAAGGTGTATGTGTTGCAGTGTAGAGTAAATGAGGTATTTGTAGTTTAGCATATGGGGGGGATTTATCCCTTAATTGTTGTACATCTGAGTTGTATTCCCGCTGTAAATTTATATTACTTGTACTGCCTCATATTGATGGGACTGGCAAGCTGGCCAATGAAAGCAAGAAATTGTTTGGCTGTACATTTAAATTTTCTGATTTGTTACCTTGACTCAATGGAGCTTAATGGAGCATGTGTGTGATCTTTTTCTTTGTAATGAGATTCTTATGGCAGAGTTTTGTGAGACAAACCTGTACAAACGTGAATGAATGGGAAGGCTACGTTTTTAAAGATTATACTGGTATTTCGATCTGATTTGCAGGTGGGGGGCTCTTTTGTGGGTAGAGGTTGCCCCTCATGAACATTCACGAAGCTGCCTTTTATTTAATCATAACATCAGTCCAGGAAGGCCAGTATTGTCTATTCAGACTGGCAGCAGCTCTCCAGGGGCTCAGGGTCTTTCACATAATCTACGGTACTGCCTAGTCCTTTTTAAATGGAGATGCCAGGGATTGATCCTTGGACCCTGGGCATGCAAAGCAGAGACTCTTCCACTGAGCCACAGTGCCTCCCTTCCCACTCCCCACTGCCCCATAGCTATTTATATACCATCTCTCACACACATCCCTGCCAAAGCCCAGCAAATGATGTTCATTACCAAGTTAAGGAAGCTCTCTGGTAGCTTCCGTTTTGTTGATTTTGATTGTAAAACAGAAATGGGTAACCGTATACAGGTATTTTGCTTGATATTTTTAAAAAATACTAGCAGAATTATTTGCAGGACTTGATCAAGGGACAATAACTGCTTCCACTGGAAACTACAGCTTTGCAAAGTTTTGACTCCCAATTATTTTGTAAAAAAATTCTTCTATACAAGTGCATGGAGTTGTATTCTATGACCATTACTGGAGCAGTACAGAAAACTACTAAAATTGCTCATGCAGATTAAGACAATTGACTTTTTTCAAGTGTTCACATGTTGAACATATAAAAAAGCTGGATAAAAGTAATTAACAGTGCAATCCTGAGGAGAGTTACTCCAATCTAAACCCATTCATTTCAGTGGGCTTAGACTGGAGTAACTGTTTAGGATTGTACCGTTATTGATGAAAAATGGTGCTGTTATTGTTCAGATTGGAGTGGGTGAGCCATCCCATTTTATTCCCAAAGCAGCCCTCATGAGATGGGTTAAATTAATCCTGAGACCACAAAGTGAGTTTAATAGCTGCACAGTGATTAGATGCACTATTCCAATCAATATGTCATAATGGCTTTCAGTATGAACATTTTAAAATGACAAAATATTTTGGGTTTTACAAGAGAAACCATGGCAAATAGCTCAGTGGTGATTATATAGAAAATATAAATTAACAAAACCTGTATTCTGTGTAATAACTACTCAGGTGTTGGTGTCCAGAGTAAATTATGCAAATTAGTACAATGAATGCATGTTGCTTATTTTCTGTGTCAACTTTTATTACATGTCGGATTTGGAATGATTTAACTTGTGTGTTTTGCAAATTTAATGAGGTATAGGTAAGCAATGGGCAACTGGGGAGTATTTTTAAAAAAACCAGCTGGTAACTATTTTGGAGCAAATAGAATTGATTTTACATTCACCTAATTAAGAGATAACAACTCAAAATGTGTTCATTTCTACCTGTTGGGGTCAATAAATTGATATGCTTATTTTGCATTTTTTTGTGTTTTCCTGTTCTGTGATACTCATGTGTTTTAAGAGAATCAGGAATCCAATTTTTCAGG